CCTCCCTGCTCCCCTCCTTCTTCTTCCTCTCCCTCGCCTTTCCTCCCTCCGTCCTACGCCTCCATCCTCCCCCTCCTCTCCCCCCCGCTCTCCTCCTCCTCCCTCCTCCCTCCTCAACCTCCTCCCTGCCTCCCATCCTCCCATCCTCCCTCCTCCCTCCTCTCCTCCTCCCCTCCTCCTCCCCTCTCCTCCTCCCCTGCTCCTCCTCCTGCTCCTCCTCCTCCTCCACCCCACCTCCCTCCCTCCTCCTCCCTCCTCCCTCCTCCCTCCTCCCTCCTCCTGCTCCTCCTCCGCCTACCTCTCCCCTCCTCCTCCTCCTCCTGCTCCGTCCTCCCCTCCTCCTCCTCCTCCTCCCTCCTCCTCCTCCTGCTCCTGCTCCTGCTCCTGCCATCCTCCTCCACCTCATCATCCTCCTCTTCCTCCCTCCTCCTCCCTCCTCCCTCCTCCTCCTCCTTCCTCCTCCTCCTCCTCCTCCTCCTCCTCCCCCTCCTGTCCTCCTCCTCGCCCTGTTCGCCCTCCTCCTCCCGCCCTCCCCCCGCCACCTCGAGCCGCAGCGCCGCCCTCGGCGCCCTCCCCCCCCCCCGCAGCCCTCCCCCTCCGAAGGGGGGCAGGCCTGTGGTGGCTCCGTGGCGGTGGCTGTAGAGGAGGCCGAGCTCCTCCGCATGGGGGGGGTGCGCGGCTCGCTCCTCCACAGGCAGGGCCGAGGGAGGCGGGGGAACCCACAGCCCTGCGGCGACAAGCGGCGCGGCGACGACGGAGTCCCGAGGCACCTCAGTGCGGCCACTACACAGGGGTCCTATTGTGGGCTTCTTAGGGGCCTCTTGGGTCCTCTTGCGGGCTTCTCGGTGTCCTCTTGGGCTGTCCAGTATCCTCATCCTGCTCCTCCTCGTCCTGCAGCCTCCTCCTGCATTGGCTCCTTCCCGTCCCCATCACTCGAAAACCCGAACATCCTGGACAAATGAGGATCTCCAACTGTGACCAACTAGCCCCTCCCCATATAAATCGAAACCGACCTCGTGCAAAGGTTCAGGTCGGCGGATGTGGCGTAAACCTATAAAATCATCATCGGCATCAGCTTCAGCATCAGCATCAGCATCATCATCAGCAGCATCAGCATCATTACCGTCATCCTCATCAGCAGCAGCATCACCATCAGCATCATCATCATCATCATCATCATCATCAGCATCATCATCATCATCATCATCATCATCATCATCATCATCATCATCATCATCATCATCATCAGCATCATCATCAGCATCAACAACAGCAGCAGCAGCATCATCATCAGCATCATCATCATCATCAGCAGCAGCAGCATGTCAGCAGCAGCATCAGCAGCAGCATCATCAGCACTATCAGCAGCAGCATCATCATCAGCAGCATCACCATCATGATATCAGCCGCAGCAGCATCTGCAGCATCAGCATGAGCATCAGCATCACCATCAGCATCAGCATCAGCATCTGCATCAGCATCATCTTCAGCATCGTCATCAGCATCATATGCATCATCAGCAGCATCAGCATCAGCAGCAGCCTCAGCAGCAGCAGCAGCATCAGCATCATCACCAGCATCACCATCATCATCATCAGCATCAGTATTCATCATCATCATCACATCATCATCATCATCATCATCATCATCATCATCATCATCATCATCATCATCATCATCATCATCAGCAGCATCATCATCATCATCATCATCATCATCATCATCATCATCATCATCATCATCATCGTCATCATCATCCTCAGCATCAGCATCGTCATCAGCATCATCAGCAGCATAGTCGTCATCATCATCATCATCATCATCATCATCATCATCATCATCGTCATCATCATCATAAGCAACATCAGCATCAGCATCGTCATTATCAACAAATTCCGCATCACAAGCATCATCATCAGCAGCAGCATCATCATAAGCATAAGCATCATCATCAGTATCAGCACCAGCATCATCAGCATCATCATCATCATCATCTTCATCATCATCATCACCACCACCACCACCACCACCACCACCACCATCATCATCATCATCATCATCATCATCATCATCAACGTCATCGTAATCCTCCCCCTCACCGCAATCCTCATCCTTCTCCTCCGCCTCCTCTTACTCGGCGGCCCCGCCTCGAGGGGCAGGACCTGCGCCTGCAGCAGCTCCGCAAGCTGCTGGGCGAAGTCCTGGCGCGACGCGGCGGGCGACGCGGCCGTGCACGACGCTGCCGCCGCCGCCGTCAATGGCCGCGCCACCTCGTCGACGTCGTCGTCGTCGCCGTCGTCGTCGTCGTCGCCGTCGTCGTCGTCGTCGCCGTCGTCGTCGGCGTCGGCGTCGGCGTCGTCGGCGTCGTCCGTCGTCCTGAAAGTAGGGCGGATAGTCCCGCCCTGCTTACGAAATCGAGCAGAGCGCGGCGGATCCGGGGTCAGGGCTAGCGGCCCTCTCCGCCCCCTGCTGTCATACAAATCTGAAGGGTGGTCCCTGTCCATTCTCCTGTGCACTTCAGCTTTGGTTTCGGCTGTGGGCGCTCCGTGGAGCGCCTTCGAGCCAGCTCACCCGCGCTCGCATGGATGCCAAAGCCGCGTGGTGACAGACCGCGCGGTGACCTCGGAACCCCGAGAGACCTCACCGCGCAGCCTGCCACCACGCGGTCTGCCACCGCGCGGCCTGCGGGCCCTCGAGGCCCCGGTCGCCCGAGACGTCCTCGGAAAATGCATCGGGCGCCGCGGCCTTCTCAGAGGGTTCCGGAACGCTCTGAGAGTGTTCCGGAACGCTCTGAGAGCGGGTTCATGCTCGTCCTAGCCCCGCCCAACACGGGCAAGGGGCCAGGGCCCAGAGGCCGAGACGTCCAGATCTACGACGTTGATTGGCGGCGAGCCAGGGAGGAAGTGAGGAGAAGGCACTCTGAGAAGGCGGCGGGACTTCTCAAAGCCCCCGCACCTTCTGAGAGGTTGTTTGTCTTTGGGGAAGGCTCAGACAAGTTCCCCGAAGGCGGGGGGACTTCCGAGACTTCGGAGAAGGCCCGCCCCTTCTCACTTGCCCCCCTCGTTCGCCGCCAAATCCCTGCTCCCTCCCCCTCGGCGACCGTCCTCCGCTTTTTCTGCCCGCTCTGGCGCGCCCAGCTACTCCTCCGTCCTCCTCCTCCTCCTCCTCCTCCTCCTCCTCCTCCTCCTCCTCCTCCTCCTCCTCCTCCTCCTCCTCCTCCTCCTCCTCTTCCTTCTCCTCCTCCTCCTCCACATCCTCCTTCTCCTCCTCCTCCTCCTCTCCTCCAATATATATTGCTCCCATCGTACTTAAGGACCACATCCCACAAATAACTTCGAACACCCAAACGAAAGTATCGAAACAGTGTCAAGCCAGGGCCCGACGCGCGAAAACCCTCCAGGTCGGTACTTCCTTGGTGCTCCAAGCTCTTTCTGGTGGTCAAGACTAGAGTAGGTTGGAACATCAGATAATCTTCAATGAGGTCTCTAGTGTGGAACTTGACCTCCGACGCCCAGTTCACGAACTCGTTCCGGTGTTGCTGCCAAGCTTCCCCAGCTGGCATCGCCCTCCACACGCCCCCCAGGGGGAGGGGTCTGGGGCTCTGGGGCGAAGGGTTGGAAACGACGCATCGTCAGATGCTTGGAAACGCACGAGATGGCTCCGACGTTTGCCCCAGGCTTATCTGGCAGGCCTCTCCCATTCGGCATCCCTCCTTGCTCACTCCCAGACGATTGCTCTGCACGGCAGTGGCGCGGAGGATGAGGAAGAAGAGGGGATACGAGGGGTCAGTTGGCCATGCCTCTCGGCAGGCATGCTTGCCTAAGTATGGTCATCTCCATCGTGCTGACTGTACCGTCTGTGGCTCCGTAGATGTATCCTCCTCCTCCCCTGAATCATTCATTCATTCACTCATTCATTCATGTTTTGAGAGCCCGACAGTTGAAGCACAAACTAGGAAGAGGACTAGGAAGAGGAGCAGAAAGCGGCCTGAGAAAGAGCAGAGTGAGCACACTGTACAGCAGGCACGTCGGGCAGACTCCACCCCACTGCAGACGGCCCGAGCCACCAAACCTACGCTCCCCTTTCCTTTTTCCGTCTACCTCCTGGCTCCCCTCCTCCCCCTCCTAATAACGACGACGACGACGACGACGACGACGACGACGACGACGACGACAATCACAGCGACGGCGGCGACGACGGCGCCTGGCCAAATCCCCACTTTCGAGACGACCCCCTCCGTGGAGGCCCCGCACCTCCGAGGCTGCCCCAGTCCGAGCATTTTCTTGGGGCGGAAGGCTCAGGGTGAAATCCATATGGGCTTTTGCACCTCGAGAATCAATATTCCTCCGCCTCCTCCTTCTCCTCCTCCTCCTCCTCCTCCTCCTCCTCCTCCTCCTCCTCCTCCTCCTCCTCCCCTCCTCCTCTACCTCCTCCCTCCTCCTCTCCTCCTCCTCCTCCTCCTCCCCTTCCTCCTCCTCCTACCCCTTCTCCCCTCTCCTCCTCCTCCTCCTCCTCCTCCTCCTCCTCCTCCTCCTCTACCTCCTCCTCCTCCTCCTCCTCCTCCTCCTCCCTCCTCCTCCCCTTCCTCCCCCTCCTACCCCTTCCCCCCTCCTCCTCCTCCTCCTCCTCCTCCTCCTCCTCCTCCTCCTCCTCCTCCTCCTCCACCTCCACCTCCCCGTCTTGTGGTTCACCCTCTGCGGATTTAGGCCTCGAAAATCAACTCGAACGACATTTCGGATTTCACCCTCTGCCCTCCACCCAAAGGAAGATGCTCGGCCAGTGGCCGCCCGCCCGACGCCTGGAGCTCGGGGCGAGGGAGCCGTCCCCCGGAAGGGGGTCGGCATGCCAGAGGTCCCTTGCAGTCGGCCCGTATCATCGGTATGCGCGAGGAGCATGCCAGGGCTCTGGACGTGCACGGTTTCCCCGGGGCCGTAGGCGACCCGAGGAGGAGGAGGAGGAGGAGGAGGAGGAGGAGGAGGAGGAAGGAGGAGGAAGACGGG